TTAAATTAAAAAATTTCACAAAAAATAAAAATTTTAAATAGTTAATTTGATACTAATATCAATGTATTTTTGTCAATTTTTAATAATATTTTTAATTTTATATTTTATTCAAAAATAAAAACATCATCGTTTTTTCAAAATCATATAAGACCATATTATAACATCGACTGAGATAAAGAATAAAATGAAATATTAAAATCAAGATGTATCTCGCTACATTGTGCTAGTACCCTTCTAGTGTACTAAAATTAATTTGGGGTTAGCCAAATTGCTTTTTATTTTAAGAATTCATTTTGGGATTGTGATATTTCAAGATTATATTTCAGAAATTTTGGATTACAATAATTATATATTACATTATTAAAGCTAATTTAATTAATTTGTATCACTCATTGCATACCCTTTTATGATGAGTTTTCATTGTAAGACTTATTGCATACTTTATTGTGATATAAATTTTGTACTTAATTAAGTAGGTATTTCATTTTGTCAACAATTACTTAGCTTGGCAAAATCTATAATAAACTAACTAATTTCAATGCCGAATTAATACATAAAAACCAACTACAATTTTGGCATCATATTCGACAACAATAAAAACGTAAAACCATTGATATCTTTGCAATAATAAAGACAATAAAAGAAAATTACCTTATAAAGCAGATTTATCAAAAGTCTTAAAATAATTTTTAATGCATAAAGTATTATACATTTATGCACAAAGTCTTAAAAGCAACTCATAATGCATTAAGTACTATTACTTTATGCATTAAATCTTAAAATCTCTTAATATACAATTAAAATAATATATAGTACAAGTTACCAATGCACATTGTATTACATTTTCTTTTTATGTTCTCAAGATACTTTTGACACATTTCACTCATGTCTTCACCCTCTCATACCTCTATGTCTTCTCCTCATCCCCCAATGTGAGATTCAAACTGATATTCACCATTAGTTATTAAAAGTTCTCTCATTCAATTGCTCTAGAACTCTCGCTCTCGATCTCTTGATTCTTTGCTCTTGGTGTAAATCGAATACATTTGTGAAGTCGTTTAAAGATATTGTATTTTAAGCTGTCATACAATTTTTTTTATCGATAGACTGTAATTGGAACCCGAATCTTATTTATTCATATTGTATTAATATGTAAAGACCAACTATAACTTATATCATCGTTAAATCTTCTCTAAAAAACCAGTGAAACTTCATAATCTTTAAAATTCATGGCTCCCGCCGCATTGCACGGGTACACAACTAGTTATATACAAAACGATTTAAATATTGGGAAATAAAGACAATCGTACGAAAGTAAGCGTCTACGATTTGCCAGATAGCTACAAACTTAATACCTTTAAACCATTTAGACCCGAAAATCGAGATCATAATTTATAAACCAGATCATTCATCAGTTTCATGATACATGTTGATGAATATTTTAAGGATCATATGTTATATTTTCCATAAATCCTAGGAAATGATGAAGTTACTATGTTTACCTCAAGAGCCAATAACGTTTATTCATTGTCACCTACACATCGTACAACTTCATCATCATAGGTTTCTTTTAGGTTATGGGAAAATTGCATCAGTCCCCTCTCCAAAACAACAAAATGTATGTTAGGGTTTTGTTAATATTATTTTTGCATCGATCGAATGCTTTCTTTTACGCGAGAAACGATAAAACTTGTAAACTAGGTAATGGAATGCTTGTATCTTTTTTCAAAATTTCCTATAAGGTATTTTGGGGATACGGGTTCCATCTTTTCCGATTAGTAAAGTAGACAACAATCAACTTCCGTCCGTGATAGAAATATGTTGCATTTGTGCGCGCTCAATTAATACAAGAACGTAGTATAGGATGCCACGGGATGCCACGAGATGCCACTACAACAAAATCAGGTTTATAGGACATTCCCAAATTCTAAGTGTCCTAATAAACATTTTTATAGAACATAGTTTATAGAACCAAAAAAAATAAAATGTCCTATCTAAAGGTGTTGTAATAAGTTTATATGACGTTTTTTAAAACATCGTAATAAGTTTTTTAGGAAAATTTTAATATAAAGCATCTTATTATCAACTTTATAAGACATTATTTGAAAAAATTGTCCTATAAAAACAAATGTCCTGTAAAAAATTGAGTTTATAGGACACTTTCTTAAAAGTGTCCTATAAAGTTGCTAATGTGATACTTTGTAGTAAAAATGTCCTAAAAAACTTGTTAAGATGTCCAAAAACATCATATAAACTTATTACAACACTTTTAGATGTGACGCTTTATATTTTGGTCATATAAATTAAGTCCTATAAACCCAATTTTATTATAATGTGCACATCCCGTAGCATGCTAATTGTATTCTTATAGTAAAAGATAAAATACAAACGATAAACACACTAATCAATAATTATCATATTAATTATATTCTACGAGTATTGTGCATATATATATATGAGATTAATCAAATGAGAACTGATTAGTTTGTGTTAACTGTGAGATCCAATCTCAACCACAAATCAACGGATAAATTAGGAAATTAATAATTATGGTAGTTTAAGTTAAAATTATAATTAGAAGGCATTTTAGGTATTTTTAAAAAACTCCTCTCTCATCTCTCATCTCTCATCTTTCCGACCTCCGATCTCCGGTCTCCGGTGAACAAAAATCCGGCAGGTACCAAGTAATCACAAAGATACACAATATGATACTCATTGTGATATACAGTGGTACTCAAATGGTATCACAGTATATCACAATATATCCCAATGGGTATCACATTGTGTATATTTGTGATTACTTGGTACCTGCTGGATTTTTGTTCACGGGAGGCCGGAGATTAGAGGTCGGAGAGATGAGAGATGAGAGACGAGAGAAGAGTTTTTTAAAAATACCTAAAATGTCCTCTAGTTATAATTTTAACTTAAACTACCATAATTATTAATTTCTTAATTTATCCGTTGATTTGTGGTTGAGATACAGTTACCACAAACTAATCAGTTCTCTCTTGAATGGGCCTACATATATATATATATATATATGTATATGTATTTTTAGGTACAAAAATCGATTTTGGTTAGTGTACAATGGGTACCAAATTAATGCAGTACATGTACTTCATTAATGACCAGTGAAGTTAAAGTAATCTATTATATTAGGTTCTTGATCAGTTTACAGCATTGAAGAGCGCACATGCAAAGAACAACCCACCCTTAATATACGAAACAAGCAGTATAAAGGGGAGAAAGTAAATGAAGCTTCATTAAATTTGCAGTTGCAGTTCTTTAAAATTCTTATATGTGACAATTAAATATGATACAAGATGTTTTTTGGCAGAAAATTCATTCAATATTTGTTCATCATCTTTTTTCACATAAATTACACATTCAAAAATTCAAATCTGAAGCAATCTAGTAAGTACATAATAGTATACATTTCAATTAGTATGTAAACAAGCAAAAACTTTCGAATGAACTCTTGAAGACATGGGATTCAAAGCGTTTTTTTTCTTGGGCTACTTTGACGGATTAACGTAAGATGAAGCTACCCGCTTCTAGACAGTGATTCGAGAACCCAAGTTTTGCCACCGGAGCTACTACCACCGCTCTCTCTATCCCTAGAACCATCGGCATGAACGTTGCTACTTGTTTGGCTCTCTTTATTAATCATAGAAGAAATCGCGGCCGCGACAGCAACCCTAAACTTAGGATGTGAAGCAATGGCACTCATGTTCTCAGCTAGGATTGACTTACATTTGTTATTACTGTTACTATCCTCTCCACCTTCCCAAACCCCATTCATCCCATCTACTTGCTTTGATCTTGAAAAATGGCTTCCATTAGGAAACTTGTTAGCCATCCAAGGAAACCCTAATTGAGGTGAGGGACTAGAAATTGGGATATGATGGGGATTTATTGGATTATTGGTGAGATCAAAGACAATTCCTTTAGAAGGGTCATTAGGGTTCATGGTTCTCATATGTGGTGATGAATAAGGAGAAGAATTAGGGTTTAGAATGCCCGAGGACATGTGGTAATTAGTAAAAGGCGATTGGTTCATGGTTCCCATTTCGGATGAAAGAGGATTGTTTGAATCCATTAGCATGAATGATGCTGCTGCCGCTGATGTCGTTGAAGCCATTGCAGTGGCGCCCACAGGTAGCGGATGGTTGTGATTTCCCTCATACGTTGTGATTAGTATCGACATGTCCTCTAAACATCTTTGCACCTATATAATCATATATGTAACAAGGACAATATCATGAGATTGACATTCTTATACTTCATGACATTTTTATAAATCCAGCATGTAAAAAAAAGTATGGATTTATTGTACAAACATAAGGAAAAGAAAAGTTCAATTCTCATGTTAAACTCTAATATGGAAAAAATGGGAAAGAACACACATGCACGCGCGCACACACACGCACACGCACGCTCACACATACACACGCGCACACACACATGCATATCAGAAAGGTACTTGGACGAACCTGTTTCCTAACTGGGCAACCAGGAGCAACAGTACAACGATAGTATGCTCGTGGGCAAGGATTTCCCTTAGCAATCTTTTGTCCATATTTTCTCCATTGGCATCCATCATTCATCTATAAAAAATATAGAAGTTAATGAAGAAAAACATGATTTTGTAAGCTATGATCATACTAGATTTTTATTTGAAAACCCACTATTTCATGGTAAGAACTACTAAAAGTCCTACAATTTGTAAGAGCGACTAGTTCAAGTCACTACAAAGAAAATTAACCAATATATTTTGACATTTTTTTTTGTGTAAGATGACTCATTCTAGTAAAAATAGTACCCGTTTACCGTATTTTGATAAAAATGATAATTTCTTTATAAACGAAGAGAAAAGATAATGGTTGAAAGGATACATATATTCATCAAAAGGGTCTTGATGCATATAAATGATTCGAACTTACCGTGGCAGCTTCACATCTTGCTCTCACTGAAACCCTAGCTTTTCTATTTTGCAGCGAGGCCACCGGATTATTAGCGATATTACCAGCTTTACTTTCACCACCGCCACCGAAATTGCTGGGATGAATCAAATTGCTTTGTTGCATCGGTGTAAACATCGTTGCACTCTCAGATAAATCCTTATGATTCAATTCTTGATGATTTCTTGGGTGTTGAGTATTGCTTTGAATCGTCAACGACAAACCTAATTCTTTGTTCTCGCTTTCTTGCAATGACAACGATCTCGGGCTATTTTTCTTGGTTTCTTGGCTTCTATCGTGCCCGTTGAGAGACAGAAAGGACTCTGGATCCTGTATATAGGAATTATAAACTGTATAATATCCGAAATAATTATGATTTATTCATGTGCTAATTGGTAGATTAATATTAGTATACCTTGATTTGGTTAGGCGATTGTCGAATAACGGAAAATTTCATTTGTAGATCATAGTAATCTTTCATGGTTTGCTCTACTACTTGTCTCAACACCTTATTCTCCTCTTTCATTCGATTCATCTCCATCTGTAACACCGACAACTAGCAGAAAAAGATACGAAATTATCCGTTTTATATCGATGGAGTTGGCTCTACAATGACCTATCAATCATCTTGAGAGGAAGGGTATTTATATATGCAAAATTAGGGTTTTGAGAGGTCGTACCTTTTCTTGATGATGAGGATCAAGGTGTTGCCTTTCTGGTGCTTCAGTTGGGGAGGTGGTGGTTGGTACATCATGTTGTGAATCTTGTACTTCATGGTCAGGTGATTGTAGTCTTCTATCATCATCATCATCATCATCATCAACATCAACCTGATCATGGTGATCTGATTCTGAATCTTTAGCAGGTTCTTGATCTTGAGCATCTAGCTTCAGCGTCAGATCGATCTCCATTTGAGTATTCTCTTCCTCTCCTCCCATACTTAAATCAATGGAAAACTCCTCTCTCTCTCTCTCTCTCTCTCTCTCTTATAATCTTTCTCTCTCTAGAATGCTGCTTTTGAGACACCAAAGTCAATTCCCCCGTCTCAAGGGAGGTATGCTTAGACACACAAGGACGCATCTAAGTTTTGACTTTAATTAGGTCCTCCATATTTTTCCAAAAACCATTTATGTACTTCAACAAGTATTTTCTTCTTTTGTTTAAAATCCACACATCAACCACAAGAGTTATGTCTGATTGGTTTGAGCTTAGCTTCAAAGATCAAAACTACCAGGAGATCCCAGGTTCAAATCCAGGGAATGAATAAAAATTCCTTTGTGGCCATGGAGGTTCAAATGCGATGACTTCAGGCTATCTGCAAATCAGATGGTTGTTCTGGGATTAGTTGGCTCGCATAACGAGTTGAATATCCCCACACATCTAACTAATTTACTATTTAAGATATTATTTTACTAGTACAAAACTTCAATTATTTCCATTTTCAAATTTAATGTTTTTTCTTGTTATTAAACTTGTACTTTTTTGTCTATTAGTAATCAACAATTTGTTATGGTAGAGCCCATGATTGGCATGCAGCAGCAGTTCGTCGTCGCCGTAGCAACGACTGCTGAGGGTTAAAATGAAGAGAGAGTGACGGATTGTTGAAGCCTGTGATCATCAAGAGTTGGAGGTCGAGAGATTGAAGAGGGAAAGAGGGTTATGGCTTCATGACTTCATCTATTGGGAGAGAGTGATCTGGTTTGGTTTAGGTGAGTTTTTTTAATTAGGTTTTTTTGATTAATTTTTAAATTATAAAAGTGACTATGTTCGTAGTTGAGTACAAGTAATCGTTGTTGGTTAAAAAAAAGATGTGTTCAATCAAATTTAAAAAATTTAACAATAAAAAATTATGCAAAAGACTAAAATCAAAATTAGAAAGCTTGTTGCATTTTGTCATATCTTTTCTAGATTTTGTCAACATTAAAATATATTTAATTATTATTAAACATTTATATTAAATTATAAAAATTTGTGTCATTCCATGAATGTAGAAACCCTATGAACTACCTTAGTACAAAATATAGCAACATTTTTCAGATTCAAACGTTTCAAAAATGTTAATTTTGATAAGTTCTAATGTTATATTCTTATATTCGAAAAATAGAAAGAAAAGAATAAAAAAGAAAAAGAAATTTTTTATCTGTGTTCTCGAAATGAAAAATAAATAATAATCATTTTTTATTCTCGAATAAAAAGGAAAGTAAATGAAAAGATAGGAAAGCTGTCGTTTTGACAAAATATACCCTTAAATGGAAAAAAAAAGGCTACCGCAAGGAAGAGGTATGGAATGTGAATGGATTCAGGGCCGTCCCTTAACATGTTAAATGTGAGATTTTGAATAGGACTCCCGAAATTTTGGGGCCAAAATTTACATGTGTTTAGGGTTTTTTTTTATCGACCTGTGAAAAACTATAACCGAAATTATTTAGGTTCAAACCATTAATTATTTGGTTTTGGGTTGAAAGCATTAACGGTTTAGGTTTAGTTTCATATTGTTAAATCATTTTATGTTTATCCTATTTTTATTCTTAACATATATTCTCAGTCATCTCATTTATGCAATGTAATCAAAAGTTTTGGATGTAGCAGAGCCTCCAAAAAAATTGGAACGTCCCTAATGGATCAAGGAGGGAAAAGGTTTTTTATCAATACGTAAACTTCTTTCTTTCCCTTTCCTTTGCTAAAAGATTTCGAGAACACAAGTTTTTTTTTTTTTTCTTTTCATTTTTCCTTCAATTTTTTTTACGGTGAAAAGGTTTTGAGAACACTTAAACAGGGTAAGTCATAATTCATATTTTTATCACCAATTAATAATCAAAATTACTTCAACTGAATAACATTGATTTTGTATTACTTTTACCAAAAAGATGTGTTATAAGTCTAATTGATAACCAATATTTCTATTAATTAAATACGTACATTGAAGCAAAATAATCCAATTAAAATTTCATGTTTTACTATTTAATATCATGAAAGAATAGTGGTGTATATGCCATTTTAATAATGACACTTGCTATATATATATATACATATATATATATATATATATGCCATTTTAATCCTTCTTTATTTATTTACTCTCGTTATATACATTAATATCAAAATTTCCTTTTAACATTTTCAAAGCTTTAAATTAATCTAAAGAGCCTCGGATAAAAACATCATATAGCATTTTTACGAGTATTATTTCATATAATAATATTTAAAAATCATATAATATACATGTATTTATGTAAATTATATCAAAATAAAATATGCTTTTAATTGCTATTTTGGAAACCTTCTTCCAAAACTTTATTTAGAAGACAATACTAATTCTTTGTACAATTAATTAAGGGAATGTATCATGTTTTTGATTTATTAAATAAACATAAAAATGTAAAATAACTTAATTTATAATTTAAAAAAAAACGTTATTTATCGATATTTTGTTTGTTTGAAATTAGTTGTGGTGGTCGACACCAAAATTGAACATTTCAATTAAATAAGACACATTAGTAATGGGAACAAAGTACGTTCAATTGTAAGTTTGTGTTTTATCAAAGGATACATTATTCATACAAATATAGTTATTATATTTAGCTATACAATTATCCCAACTCTAAGTTAAATTAGTTAAACTTTCTATTCAAGTACTATCTGAATATTTAATTTGCGGGTAAATATTTAGTAGATGATTGAGAGAGATGTGAGTTATTATGTAAGCATTTACATTTGTACAATCAATATTACTCAATCTCTACCGTCCATTTAATTTGATGAATATGTGATTTCATAAAAGTTTTGATTGTTTCTTAATATAAAGTATTGAACATAATTAATTAACAATAGTCATTTTTCATAAATATTCAAATCATAATAAACAAACTCTGATCATTTTCATAAATATTTCAATTGATTGGGTTGTATTAGTTGTACAAATGTGATGAGTTGCATTTGAAACGTC